CCTCGTGCGACTCTTACGCTTCTTTCGTACTTAGCAACCTCCCGCGTGCATCCATAACTCAATAGTGCACGCTATGGCGTTTACCATTTGTTAAATAGGTTGCAAATGAAATAATGTGATGTATTGTAAGTGATGTACGTAAGTAATTTAGCATATTGCAAGTAATTTAACATATTACAAGTAATTTAGCATACTGCAAGTAATTTAGCATATTGCAAGTAATTCAGTAATTGTACGCAACGTCTTGTAAGTGGTTAATGTCATATGTAGTAAGTAATGTTTGTAAGCAAGCAATATGATGCACTGTAAGTAGGTAAAATAACATTTTGTAAGCGATAATCATAAACTAGTACTGTATCAAGTTGAGTCGATGTTAGTACTGTGTTGTAAATTGTAAGCTTTTTAATGTTAGTATTGTGTATTTGTAACGTAATATATGCTATGTAGAAATTAACTTTTTAAAAAATATTAATATTGTAAGTAATGTTAGCATTGTAAAGTACATGAGTCTTCCAATAAAAAAAAAAAATTTTCTTGGGTAAGACACCAAAAATTCGTAGTGCCTCTCTCTACGTGTCTGTATATGGATGATTGAATTACCCATATACAGAGAGGTAAGCTTGCGATGGGTTAGCATCTCATGCAAAGGGAGGGGAGGGGGAGGCAAAATCTAGCTACATTGTTAATGGAAACCCAAGAAAACTGCCAGCCTGACTTTACTGTACTTTGCTAGCTCTTGAATTTCTTGTCCGAGGGTTAAATTATCAGCAAAGCGAAACCCAACAAAGCAGAAATAAGGAGCAGCAAAGTGGAATAAATTTCGTTTGAGTTGGACTCTCGCACGAAGAAAAGCTCTAACGAGTACCAATAGTTTTCCTAACCTTTCAGTCGACAACTATCTTCTCTGTCGAGGCTCTTAGCCCTCATAGCAATCCAATCTACACAACCAGCCATCAAAAGGACACAAGAAAACATCAGCCAAACTTCTCTCGCTTACTGTGCGTAAAATATTTACAAGGAAAGCGCGCGAAGTTTAAAAGTTGTTGGCAAGGAGTAAAAGTAAATACAGCGGCTGAATTCCCCGGCCGGGGGCAGGTGTACTCCATATATATGCTAAATGGGTATGTGCCGCTGTGAAGGGAACGGTTTTCAGGCGGTTCAGTTTGGGATAGGGTACAGTAATCAAACAATTTTGGTCTAGAATAAGGTATAATTTACCGGAAAAGTGGCCAGTGTAAATATAATTTAGTCTAGAACAGGGTGTTTTACCCGGGGTTCTATAAAATAAATCGAAATTCGGAAGAGACTTTGGTAAGATATTTGTTAAGTTAGCATATGTTGTACTACGAAAGTCATAAAGGTTCTGCATGGAAATAGCTAGTCTGTGAGAGGGTAGGGATTTTTGTTGCCTAGTCTGGAACAGCGTTACAAAATCAAGCTGATCATGGTCTAGTATAGGGAAAGGGTTTCAATGTGTTGGCGGCAAACCCCTACCCAAAGATTTAAAGAGTACCAGCACCGATGCTGAAACTCAAGTTCTTTGTCTACTTCCTCTTGTACTCCCTTTCATCTCTATTGCGAAATGACGCAGTAGGATTATAATAAATGATAGCTTCTACGTCTGAGGATAATAAAAAACTCAGTGTGTAACAACAGCTTTTAAGCAGGATGTATACTTTCAAGCGGTACATTTTTTTAAGCAGTACTGTACATGAAAACTGAGTTGTGTATGAGGATGAATCCCCAGTGTGAAGCAATTTTTTTAAAAACAGGCTACGTAAACGGTATTTTCGCGCTGTACTGTTTAGTTTTCAGCAGAAAATGAGTTTACGTTGTATTTTTTTTTTTTTTTTTTTTTTTTTGANATACAGTTTCTGATGGAGCTACAAAAACATTAGTTCTGAATATCGAAAGGGCACAGCACGATTAACTGTCCCATGGAATTTGAGCCCATGTATTAAATACTTTTTATGCGACGCGGGTTCAAAAACGCAAAATTGTACAAAGAATTAGCGCTTTGGCCACCCAGAAATTTTGCACTTGTTGAAAGCCATTTTCTCCTCGAATATTACACCCAAAGAGCCAAAATTCCACCAATTACTAAGTTTTACCAGCTCGTTAAAATTTTGAAGTCAATTCGCGTCTAGCGTGATGCTTTCTCTGTGCGAAGTCGTGTGCTAATGAGGAAAAATGTAAACGACGACGTAAGCAAAGATTCGATAGGACCATACAGTGGTTATGACTTTTATGTCTGTGGATAAAACCCAAATGAGTGACTTCTCAAACGAGGGTTCTTAAGCAGTACTTCAATGTAGCATGCTGTTATATTACGCGGTAAAATGAAAGAGATTTTACCCTTTGGGATTCTGGATAAAACTCTAATTTGTGACCATTCAAATGAACGCTATTGTGCTCAGTTTGTTCGCTAATATTTTGCATAGCCAAACCAAGAATGTTTTGATCCATTTGAACTAAGCATTGGGTTGTTACTTAAGACTTAAAAAAAACGAGGATTTTACGTACATGTAACTTCCGACATCAACTTAACAAAGCGATGTAGAAAATCTTTCATAATTTGCTCCTTTTTTCGACTCAGCGATTTCAAAAAATATGAAAAAAGAACACGCTAAACAAATATTGGCTCAACAACTCGCCTAGTTCCTGTACGGCTTTCTCCCAGGCCTTCACAGTAAATTGTTTTCGGTGGTGTATCCGAGACGAATGGCCCGGACCACGCTTTTCGCCTTGGACTAAGTGACCCGAAACGATTGAACGAGACGAAATATGAAGTCCTAAAAACCAGCCAACGCAATACCTTCACCGTCTTTTTCTTGGTACTGTACACAAAGCCTCATCATACTGTTTAACCATGACTGTTTTATCTTCCCTTCATTATATTATACTTAGGCTTCCTCAACACTGTCTAAACAGCTAACACTGCTGGCTTTCCACTGTTTCCCTACTTTTCTCCATCTTGTTAGCACATTCTTCGACAAACAGCTGCATCTAAGAAAACATAAAATCGAGTCAGGAGTTTGGTCAAGGCCCATTTACGAAAAAAGAGCCCTGAAACATCAGACTAAGAGAATGGGAGACATGAAACCGGAACCCTGGTCACCCTTTCCGCATCTGGCAGTACAGTAGAAATAGAAAAGTGAATACTGTATTACCTTTAGAATACCGGCAGTGGTTGACTTAAGAGGTATCATAATGGATTCCTTTAAAGTAGTTCCTTCATCTGCTTGAACCCAAGGAAACTCCTATAACAGCAACAAAGGTGCTACTAGCTTGATAGAATTATAATTCATGTGTATATGGCCCAGAAAGAGAGGGGGGGGGGGAACTCCCTCATGAAAGTTCGGAGATGCTCGTCGGAAAATTTGAACTAAACCCATAAACGAAGACCAATCTGGGTGTGACTCGAGTTTTATTTGACCGCTAAAAGATACCACTTAAAACAGAACAGGCTCCATCATCGGCCACTGTTCGGGAAAGGAGCCCGCGCTTGCAGACGGGGCTCCAGAGACCGACTGAAATCGAACCTAAAAACGGAAATAAGAGCGTTTTTTACTGTAATTTCTGTAAGTGCACCCTTAAAGATACTTTGAAAGCTAAAACTAGTAGCGTTTCGTCATGAACACCCTTAATGAGACCAAAAACCATGATTTATACCCTTAAACGAGACGACGAGCATCCCCGAACTTTTAATAGGGGAGTTCCCCCCCCCCCGGGTATATAGCTTTTCTTCCACAGTTATTACCAACGCATAAAGTACATCTTAATCTTTTCTATTATTATTATTTCAAGTATCCTCATTGGTAGAAGGATTTTTCCTTCTGTTAGTTTTATCTCACACAGGAAAAAAGTTATGCATTCAAGATTTCATTCGCTAATTGTAAAGTTTAGCGTGGGGGCAGCGTGGCCGAGTGGTTAGGGCGCCGGACTTGAAATCCGGAGGTTGCGGGTTCCGCTCTGACCACTAAGCTGTAGTGGTTTCTCGAAAAACCTTAGCTCAACTCGTCGGTCATGCTTGTACATAGCCAACTGGTCTGCCTCCCTCCAGTTGGGATATTTAAGTCTGTAATGTCTATTTTGAAATATTTCTTCTCTCAGTATTTAAAGTGACATGCCTGTGAACTAGCTAGTTAGTAAGCGCATCGACCACTTTAAACATCCAACAACAACATTTTTACGTGTACACGTACGTAGTGGTCTCTGCGTTAGGAAGGGGTCAGACGGCATTCTCCACATCGACCAGTAAACGTCACAACGAGAAAGAAGGAATGATTTTTTTTCTCCTCGTAATTGTTATCAACTGCTAACACAAGCAACGTCACATAGAACAGATTGATCTAATTTTATACTACTTTAAATCTTGATTGTGAAACAGGCTCAAGATTCTCACAGATTCCCTTGCCTTCGTCCTCTTTAAAAGGGGACGATACTTTCAGTAGCGTCTCTAAATCCCCTGGAACGTTTCTGATTCTGTTTGTTGTGGTGGTGGTTGTAGTTGCTGTTTATGCTGTTGTTGTTGTTGTTGTAGTTGTTGTTGATGATTTTTAGGCATGTTGTTAATTCACAGTTAGAGTGTTGCAATCAAAGTTCTCAACACACCTGAACCTTGCGGTCCTCCTGAAGTTTTAAGAACGACGATTCTTTAGTATATACAAGAATGGAGAACGTACATCCTGTCAAAAAATAAGCAATGCAAGATGTTCAGATAACAGCACCCCTGTTGTTTATCTCTACAAAGCTTGAAATAAACGTACATTGTCCATCAGCATGACTGTTATTCCGGCCTTGTGGAACTCTTGATATATTAGTTAACAGGGAAAATTGTCCCACAGTAAAATGTATATTTAAAGAAATCTGATAGGGCTTGTATTTACCTGGAGGAATTGGTTCTAACAAGGCATCACACGCATTAATCTTGAGCAAGAATCCTCTAAGGGTTTTCTCTGTGTGTAACAAAAAATTGTCTTCACTAAAGCAAAAAAAAGAAAATTGTACCCAACCATTAGAAGATAATTCCACTATATATAACATATTTATTACTTCACAAAGGCCTTATTAAGACCTCGCAACATTCTAGACTTGATCGAGATTCTTTTGTATTGTACCGCTCAAAAGCAAGTTACCACCCTCTCGCGAGACGCGATTCTCGTCTCGCGAGACGAGACTATCATCTCTCGAGACAAGACTATCGTCTCTCGAGACAAGACTATCGTCTCTCGAGACGAGTCTCTCGTCTCGCAAGGTAAGACTCTTGTCTCTCGAGACGAGAATCTCGTCTCGCGAGAAATGAGACTTATTTATTTACTTTTGAGCGGTACTGTACAACAAGAAAATAATTTTTACACTTCCACAAAAGTCATCTAGTAATGCAGTTGGACCCCACTAATTCAAACTCGGTTATTTTGAATTCCCTGTTATTTCAAACTCAAAACCATTTCCCTTCGAATTGCCCTTCAGTCATTTACTATCGGGTATTTCAAACCCCTGCAATTTTCCAACTATTTTTTGTTTCCCCTGAAAGTTCGAAATATTGGGGTTCAACTGCACATGTTTACACACTTAGAAAATCGGTGTTAAAGAAGAGGTTCACTAGTGACAACAAGACTAGCGAGGTCTATTTTGAATAAGACTGCTGTAAACATTGACATACATTTTTCCACAGAGTGTAATTTGTCAAAAAAAAAAAACAAAAAACTACATGTACAATACATGCCGATGTGAATGAGTAGTTAGGAAGCTGGAAATATTGAAATCTAAAGGTCAGGGCTGTTACCCGTAAATATACAATAGCCCCCATTTGGCATGAAAAAATGCTCAGCCATTTGTCCCCAGACATCATCTGTTCCGAGAAGCGAACAGTTTTCTGAGAGGGTAGCTCAAGGAAAAACCGTGAGCTTTGAGGAATTGATAACGTCCAAGAACTATCAAGACTAATTACCTTACAATCACCTGTCTAAGTAAGTTCTTGAAATAATTTCTAACAATAACTATTGTTTTACTGGCATTTAAAAGCATTTAAATTTGCTCAATGAGAGGGGAAGGCTCACTTGCATGACTTTAAATTACAGGATTACAAGTACAACTTAATGCAGGTATCCTAAACAATTTCTGGCATGCCATCCCTAACCTTCCTGTTGCTGACAATTCTTCTGGGTTACCAATCTCAAAAACAAATCTCTCAATAGGAATAAATTTCTGAGAGAGAAAAAAAATAACATCACACTTATAGTATTCCCTATCAAGGGCTACAGAATAATCTACCTTTTTCAATACTGTAAAAAAATATCATTTTATTCCCTAAGTACATTTCTGTGGACATGAAGACTACATGTATGTGTTTACACAATGTTCTCGGCCACTACTTGAGGCCAGACTGCTCAAGATGGAGTCCAACTAATGTGCTGACCTTTAGGCCACAACACCTACCAAGGTAAATTATTACAATAATAGTGGAGCTCCATCAGCCCAAAGGGCCACCAAGTGGAGCACCATAACTATAGGAACCAAACCACATACATAGAAATAGAAAACCATGCAACCCTTTTGTTTTGTTTTTGTTTTGTTTTTTTTTTCTGGTAAACATGGCTAGTGGCAACATGACGTTGCACAAAGTTTATGGTGGCCATACTCTAGCCAATAAGTCGACCAAGGCACACAGCCATGGTTTACAGAGTACATCTTTGATATTGGACATCCATATTACAGTCAATTGACACTTGTCAAAACCAGGTATCTGCTGACCGATATCACATGGCCATAACACAGGTTCAGGTTTAGACCTCTTCAAGGTCACATGTTTTTTTTTTTTTTGAAGTTGATTGCTGAAAAGGAACTGTTTTTCGATTGAGGTGCAGGCACAAACCAGGTTATTAATTCACTGTAGGAGCTCCAATTTTAAGCTTGGCTAAATCTATATATTAATTATTACAATAAAGTGGGTAATTATGTGGGGTCCAATACAAAGGAAAAAACATTTCAGGCATATTGTAACTTATGCTACACACTTATGGTTTTCAAAGTGACGAACTACCTAAAAATTCTTACTTTTCACAATAAAATAGTTACAAATTTTGCACCCCTGAAGATCAAATCACACACTGGTATACAGTATATGTGTTAAAATTGACTCACTTTATTGGAAACCACCAGGACTACTCTCTGAACTTCACCCTATAAGATTACAATAAAATTTGGAAGAGTATCTAATTAGTACTTCTCATAATATGCATCCATGTACATGTTTGCAGTTTTACAGGGGTAGGTAGTGCAATTTACTAGTTCAAATAACTTTGCGACAAATAAGTACATGTACATGCACACTTGTTCTGAGGTAAAATAAAACTTATCAATATCTAGTATTACAAGCACCTTTTCTAGTAAGGGTTTAGCTGTCTGAAGTACATCTAAGATATACTGGTTGAGATCTGGGTGACAACACATCTATAAAAGTAAAAGAGTTACCAGTAGTTAATAATGGACAAACAAAAACATTCACCCTGATGGAAATGCAGGGTGCAGCATTATTTACAAAGTATCTTCAGTCTTGTAGTAGGTAGAGTGTTGTAGTAGTATCAACTGGTGAACAAAGTTACCAGCCCATAGGCTTTTGACTCAGGTTGTGTTATTTGGATGATCTTACTGTGTATCACATTGGCACTGACTCTGACAATGACATCAAGCACAAATAATAAAACTGTATGGTGGTAAATGATGAATTATGTTAAAAAATTAATTTGAAGTTTGGTAGTGAAGTAATTTAGTAAGATGTCATATTTACATGTAGCATGCCACAAGAAAAAAAAAAATCCAAACCCATCACCTCCCAAACAATGGACAGATGCCATATCCACTGAACTGCAAGGGTTTCATTAACAGCTGAGCAACAGGTAAATTGGTAACTGGTCATTTTGCTTGATAGCCAGTTTGCACGTTGTCAGTTTGCCAGGACCGTAAGTCTGTTCTCCTGGACTAAAAGTTCAAAGAAGGATGTGTTTAATTCTTTCTTTTAACCAAATGAGCGAAAAAGTCAACACTGTGGGTGTTATGAAACCAAACTTCACAAAACATGTTTATTTCTCATTTAACCATGGAGCTAACAGTCTGAGCAAACAAACTTACGGTCTGGGTGAACTGGCTTTTGGGGGAAACGAACGCAATTCGGCAAACTGAGATGCTGACTGTCTTGTGTGAGGATGGTTTCGCTGCCTGGTTTGACCATCTAGAGAAAAGCTTTTCTTATTAAGAATAAGATGTTCAGTTCAAAATGTTTGGTCTATCTGTGAAAACCAGTTACCCTTTTGCTGAAAACGTTAATGAAATCCCTGGAGCTAGAGACACTCATGGTCATTTATTTGGTTTATACTGACACATGTCCTATATATGCTGCTAGATTACAAAACTAATATCAAAATTGTTTTGCACAATGATAAATAAATAAAGAGAACAAAATGCTCAGCTTGTTGGTGAAACAAGAAAGAAGGACAAATAATTTTATTTTTATCATGTTGGAAGCCTGGAATAAATAATACAGGGGAACCCTCTTAATCCAGTCACCAACAGGCTACAAAAATCAGGCCTTATAAAGGGAGCGGCCATTAATAAAGGGATTCTTAAAATAGGAAAATGACTGACTGAGGTTTTGCTGGGGCTAGAATATAGTGGCTGTAATAAGGAGATGGCTGTATTAACGGGGTGGCTGTAAGGCAGGGTTCCACTGTATAAGCAAGATTTGAACCCATAACCTTGGAAACACAAGTCCTGAAAGTGCTTAATCTAATAATTAATTAATTAATTAATTAATTAATTACTGGACTAAGAGAGGCCATCTACCACTTTTGAATGAACACACATCCAGCATACTGCTTAGATTAGCTACAGTATATCAAGATTTTGCATGTTATGAATGAAGACAGGTGGTAAGAAAAGTGACGCTTTAAGAGATCAAATCAGAAAGAAATCAAATAACAGAAATTTAACCATTTAGTTAGTTTGGATTTTGGATTTAAGCAGGATCACAAAAAAAGGAATTGAGCCTTAAATAGGGCAGAAAAGATATCAGATATTTGTTTCTTCAACAGGGTCAGGGTTTGAGAAACTCAGTCACACCTTTCCTTGAGCATGCATGTCTGCTGTAATCCGATCTGTAAACTTTCATGTATTTTTTTTTTTTTTTTTTTTTTTTNAATGGGTTTGTTTACAAAGCTCTTGTCATTGAATCAGCTTGCGCGCCGTCTACTAACGATTTGTAAAACATTTTGGCAACGAGCGAGTGACTCAGATAGTAGACAAAGAAAGATGTATTGAAGAACAGATTTTTTGCGAACTACTTTATGTTAGTTGCATTTATTTCACCAGTTACGTTCTTTAAATTTGTTTTTGCGGTGTGAAATTTTGTGCGAAGTTTGAAGTTTTACTACAAAAACAATTTCTGTCTGTTGTTGCTTTTAAAACACTTGATATCAGACTTTTCTACCATAAATTGAATAACAGAAAGCAAAGAAATTCCTGAAGTGTATTCCACAGAAATTCTCCTAAATACAGCAACGATCAGAGAGGTAAACTCGACTGAAATTGACTCAAATTTTACAGCGAGAGAAACACAGGATTACGTTCCATTACAGTGCCAAGCTACAAACCAAGCAAAATCTCACAACTTTAAAACACTCAATTGAATTTACTTACAGTGACTTTCCTTGCCATTTTAAAGTGAACAGAGATAAAGTGACATTGACTAATCATCGATGGATGTGTAAAAAAAGGCAAAAGATTGAGGATTGCCGCTAACTTTTAGGAACGAAATTTAGGCAGCGGGGAAAAAAATCCGGCCCATGGGCCGTATCATAAAAAGCTGGACCAGTCACATGTGTATGATTGGCCAATCAAATTCAAGAATTTAGGATTCTGGCCCGCTCAGATGCTTGAGAAAAAAATGAAGAGTGCAACATTTCAAAATGATAACTTGAACTTTCAGGACCATTAAAATCCTGAAATAGATTAATGATCCTCGTGACATCATAACTGTTGATAACGATGTTTTGGTTTTAAAAACTTTCTAAGCTTACATATACCTGCACTGGGACATTATACTTTTTTCTTCTCTCAAACACCACAGGAGGATACACTTCCCTCACATATAAAATAAGGTGAAATGCTACTTCTAAGAACTCACACAGCACACCACCTGAAACTGTCAAAAACAGAAATCAAAAAAGCACTGAGCTAAGCGTTTCTAAGCTAAAACTAAGTTTAACTAAGCTTGACGTTTAATAAAATTCCTGGGGTGGGTGCTGTTAAGGTTATTCCAACAATTAAATTTACCTTTGAGTATCAATTCTCTAATTTCTGGCTTCTTTAGCTCAGCATTGCTTCACAACCGTAACACTTTAAGCACATTTTTTGTCGACGAGGTTTCAACACTGTGATTCTACAAGTACAGGTTCTACCAGTGCCGGTGAACATGGAAGTCAACTTTTCACAATCAAGACATGCGATCATTTCAATACATTCATCTCATTTTCTTAACAGCAAAGGAGTCATACTAACCAGCTAACAAGTCAACAGTCTGCTTGTCACCTTCTGCTCTTTGCATCTCCGTCAGAAGGACGCAAATTGTTTCAAAACAGTCGTGTACGAACCGCCATGTTTCCTCTCTTAGTCGAGAGTAGAAACTTGTACCCAGATCGTTCACGTCAATGTTCAGTTCGCGCCTTCTCGCGCCTTCGGCTTCGGTGTAAGAGAACCGGGGGGCGGGAACAAAGGCGGGAACCTGGGAGTAGAGGGGGCGGGAACTTTACGGGAAACGGAGAGATGTCAAAAAGCGGTATTCTCGACATCCTGCAATACAGTTGTAATTTAGCAACTGCGAACGCTGATCATGCGAGCGCCCTCTTGGAATTAAATCTCGGCAGAGGCTTGGGGAGAGACGAAAATTAATAGCGTGTAACGGAGTAGGAGAGAGGTTGAATAACGAGTGAGGGGGAGGGGGTGAGAAAGTTTCCTTTCAGATGAGAACATCCTAAGGTTACCTTGATTTTGCAGAGACAGTGTTTTATTATTACGATAAATTATGATATAATTCTACCAAGAGACATCGTTTCCTAATCCTACTCATAATAAGAGTAACAGTGGGACCTTTTTGGCAAACGTAACAGTATTTTGCTTAACTCTTGTCTACAGAAGCTTTATCAATATCATTGTAGTAAGCGTTGAACCCTTCAGATATTCGTAGAGTTATTAGTACTTCTAGATTTCTAAATATCAGATTGTAGATATTCTTATTCAACAAATTGCATTTTTGCAATCACCAAAGTCATTCTGCATGACATGTCGCTTGAAAAGATCGTGGAGAAATCTCCATTAATTGACATGGACCCATGGCGAAGCTTAGCAAATTTGCTGTTGTTCTTCTTCCTTTTCATAAATGCAATAGAATGTAAATGGTGTTAAAACTTCTTAGGAGAGCACATCTAGCTTTTGAATCAGCAACCATCTACCATTCCGAATGTGAAAGAATTTTCTTTCGGTCTCATTGGTACGGTGTAAACCCTCATCAAAAGCAAGTGCTGAGTCGTAAGCGATGCCTATGGCGAACCCCTTTGCGACACATTTGCACTCTGTTTCTTCCCTTCTGTTTTACGCTGGTGATCACCCACTCCAACCGGGCACTGAATTCAACTTTTTGTCATCAATCCCAGTTTGAAAAAGGGGACCTTAAAGCCGATTTAAAATCTTGGATCTATGTTTACGCAGAATTCACGACATGCGGTAAATAAGGCAATGGGGTCTTTTCATAGGACTAAACCTCCCGATTGCGAAGGTAAAGTAAATGGTCTCACCAAACGATTTGGCCTGGTTATGGGGACCGCAAGGACCAAACGTCGCCGAAACTTGCGGGAAAAAATAGCATAGAGAATTGGGTTGAGGAAAAACGAGGTTTTAGCAAACACGCTAGACGCGCTGAGCGCAATAGGATTTACCTTTCTTTCTAAAACAATAAGGAAAGAAACGACGGCATAGGGAGACCACGAGACCACAAATGCGACTATGATTGTTAAATAGTACATTGCGGATTTGCGATGCTTCTTCAGAAGAGCTTGTGTCATCGACATTGCTATACGACCCAACTGTGAAGTGATCTGAACGATGCCTTTGGAAATGTTATGGATCTTGTAGTAGCAAAATGTAATCACAGTGATTGGTAATAAATAGCAAGCGAAAAACACAACCACAAAATATGCCTTATCGCCTGCTAGAGAAGACTGCCATTGAAGTGAGCAGGTAGCGTTGGTTCCCTCCAGTCCATATCTTGACCAGCCTAACAAAGGAGCAGCGCTGAAGACCAGTGAGTAGATCCAAGAGCCCAAGATTATCAACATTATCTGTCTCTTGTCGAAATAGGAATCCCTGTAAAGAGATCTCGTTATATTCAAATACTTTCCTGCCGAAATGGTAGCCATTTGAGTGATGGAGACGAGAGCGAATAGAAATATCATGAAGGCGTGTGCCTTGCATCCAGTCGTACCAAACGGCCATTCCTTGTTGAAGTGCCGTGCGATCGAAAATGGAACAGCTATGGAGCAAGACAGGAAATCACTCACCGCAATACTGAGAATGAAATAACTGGGTGCTGAGAGGTGATTGAAGTTCTTATAAATTGTAAAAATGACTAAACCATTGAACACGATCCCCAAGAAACACACCACGAACTCGATTCCCATGAAGATCGTGTTCCACTTGCTAATGGAATCCATGTCTGACGAGCTTGACCGAGTGTTATCCACGATGTGTTATTGATAAATCTGCTGCGTTCTTGGCCACTCTCGATTCCAAATGGATGCCTTTTATGCTTTTAGGTTTTTATGTTGTTGTGAGTTTTATATTTGTAAAAACAAGAAGACGAGAGGTATTGAGCGATCGTATGATGTTCCTGACCACTTTCTTGCCTATATTCCCTTTTACTAGAGATTGTCCATTAAGAGCCTTTTAAACATCAGCAGGAACTTATTTGCATGTGTCGTTCCATTAAAATCTCATCACCCAATGAATTTTCAAATTGTTTAATTAATTAAATTAAACCGGTTAAATCTTATTTTATGCAAGATTCCCTCTCGCGTCACGGCCTACCGCGATACCCACGCGATTTTTTTAGTTTTCAGACAGGGTCTCATTACACGTGCACTTGAGCAGCGTTTAGCTGTTTACACGTGATGTTTTAGCTTTAGCCTTAGTTTCATTTACGGTTAATACTTTAATAAGTAACAGAGCTGGAAAAAAGCGGCAACTAGTTTATTTGCTTTTTAAAGGGCTGGTAGTCGAAATAAAATCTGTTGAAAAAAGAACAAAAATAATGCTACATTATTACGTAAACAATTTAAATAGTATTGTTCATTTATAGCTGACGTTCCTGCTGCCACACTTAACCAAGGAGCTCCCCTCTGCTTTTATATTTCAACCATGAGTTCGTGAAAATAAGGAAATGCAATCGAACAACAGTAGCTTCACAGTTTCATTTTTTCTTAAATTACAAAAAAATATATCATTAGAAATAAAAATGCTTAAGATTTTAAGGCTCTCCTCTTTGTGACTTTTAATGTTTACAATCCATCACAGCTTGATGCTTTGTTGGGGATTTGAAACTGATATCAAGTCCAAAAATAGTGCCATTTTTCTATGTAAAAAGCACAGATTCATTTTTATTATAACATAATTACTCTTTTCCCGAGAAGAAGCGGAAGTATCATAAGCGACGACGACACGTGTTCTACTGCAACGGAAGCACTGAGTACACGTGAGATTCTTCTTTATGTACGGGTGCCAAAAAAAAAGTGAAATCCAAAATTCCCTTTACACGAAAATGATGCCAAACGACAGTTTCGATTTTGTGTCTGGTGGTAAAGCATTTCCCATACGTTTTTGTTTTCTAGCTTAATTGGCTCCACATGAATATACTTTTCTACTATTTTCTTCAAAGACTGGTGCTCAGAAAATCAACAAGTGCAACTGCTACTAATCTGTAAGTGCGCCTCCTCAGAATCACATTCAGAAAGATCAAAGAAATAACATCTTTTTTTGAAATATAGTTGCAACTGCTTACCTCAACTTTGCCGTTGCTCGAGGAAAGTTTCACTGAAGGACTGAACGGATTCCAAGCTCAAACTTCAAGAATTGCAAAGCGAGACAGTACCGGCCTTTTAAGGCTAATTTTGGCAGCTACACCCCCGTCTACATTGACAACGAAGATCGATCTACAGAAAATGAAACACCTTTTTCCCCGTGAATTTCCACCGTTAGGTATCTCGATCTATGTCGGCAAATGGCTGCTTCACAGTTTCAGGATTGATGACCTTGCTATCTGCAAAGCGCAACGGAAGGACAGCGTGGTTAAACGGAACGACAATTGCTGTTCGGTCAAACTGCGCGTTGTTACATCATAAACGTTTGCAATAATTTTCCCACACAAACAGCCGGTTACAGTGCGTGCCAACTTTCTAGGAAGAACGACTTGATTCATGCAATAGGGAATGATGTTGATGGATGATGAAACTTTATTGAGTGTCCCAACCCATGCATACTAACGTGGGTACACCAATTGACATTTTTCTAACTTCTTCAGTGCCACTGGCACAAGAGGAGAGATGTTACTTGCCTCTTCAATTCGGACTATTAAACGTGTACTTACGTAACACTAACGTAAGTGAAACTAAATTGTACGTGCAAGCAGTGTCAAATCATTCAACAATACGCCAAAAGGAATATGTCATCGTGTCCCAAACGCCAGGCAATTTGTTACGTAATGAGCTGCTTATGTACAAGCCAAGCCAAACCGAGTTCTGGAAGCTTCAATTTTGTATTGAATATTTTCCTTTCATTTGGTCATATATTTAAGCGGGCGTGTTATAGGATAAGGTGGGATAGTCAGTGAATGTCTGTTTTGTCTTTTTCAGCCACGCAGTCATAAAACGAATAGTTTAAGGTGATAATAAATTCTTGAAGCATTTTGAGAACTTTATTTACTCAAACTAAACGTGGGATTTCCGCGCTGGAGTTAGGTAACAACACGTAAGTTGAAACCGTTTTTGATTCATCGTGCAATATCAATTTATTGCAAGGTCTTTCCGTGTTTGCCCACACAGAGCACGTAACCCTTACAATTGTGCAATTACAGCTTTTTCCAAAATGTGTGCTCAATACCTACAGGAAAAAGAAATTTAGAAATGTGGGTTTTCGTTTGAATTTGAATTTGAATTTGATCGCGACAAAAACACTACTTAGAGTTGGGAATTCTTTGATTAAATTACATTATTTCAGTCTTCTATCTAACATTCAATTGGAGTAAGAAGCAAAGTAGGTCGCCGAAAACCAAAATCAAGTAGAGGCAGAGGAGTCTGAATCCCAAAAGACTGACCAAGTTATAAAACGAAACAGCTGAGCCAGCATAACCGAAAAGCAAAATGTAATTTAAGGCATAAGGTGAAAGCCTTATTGAATTCGAAATCTTTGGATAAATGGAAATTATACGAGGCAACTACATAGGAAGTTTGCAAAACTGGGCCACACTACAGATTTGTTTGTGGGGACGTTCATTACCGGATTGGGTAGAGGAAGTAAGATATATACACTTCAAAGCCATTTGCTAAACGATTTAAAAAGTTTGCTGAGACATGACCCAACTAAATTAGGCATTCTTTTAGAGCATTTACTGTATAAAATGGCGCCCACTCAACTGAGCGAAGTTTTTATCCCGCTCCCAGATTTTGTAGTGGTTATCCTAGCTTGACTTTAGTTACGTATTCACTCAAAGACATTTTGCAACACCGCATTAACGTCCGTTTACTCTTAAGGTTGCGTAATCAAGGGTTTATCAACCAAAAAAGCGTCAATCGTGGGTATTCGTGTCATGGTTATAAAACAGTGAACGCGTGGCTGGCATTGTTGTTAAGAAAATTGAGTACCTAATATGAGACGTTCACAAGACTTTGTCAGCGGGGCTGATTGTCTTTTTCAAGATACCTCGCCGCAAACAAAGATTTTCGGCATTTAGGGCAGTTGAGGTGAATGCCACCAGATGCACTCCCAAAGAAATTTCTCCACTGGAAAGCACTTGGAAGATGAAATAGATTGTTAGGTTCTTTCCAAATGTTAGTGGACACTGACTGACGCTAGACTGAGGCCTGCTGGGGGATGCCATCTGGCAACTCATGGGCGAGACAAGCTGCACGCCAAGAACAGTCCAAAGCTCACTGCATTGTCGCGCCATAGAGTACAAAGAAGATTGAGTCTGTTGGAGCGTTAGGTTGTTTGCAGGTAAAAAAAAAGTGGGTATATATTTAACAAATAAGCGAAGAAGTGTCGAGTTAGGTTCTAAACTGTTGTGCCCAGTCGGAGGGCAACTGAAAATCTTCAGTGATGGTTATTAACCGTAAAATTGCTAAAGCCTTGCTGTCGCTCGCGATGCTAGTATACGAGTAAACACAAGAGTCCATAAACTCAGCGAAAAACGCAGATGCAAGCAAAATCAAAGTGTTTTGATCCTTTAATTTGTTCGTGCGTGCGTTTCTCAGTGTTTTAATACATGGACTACTCTGCTTTCACTTATTATTTCATCACCTGTGAAAACCAGGATAAAAGATATATATATATATAGACGCAGCAAATTTGAGAAACCCAACATCTTCAGCATCTAAAATTATAACTTTAAAAATAAATGGAATTGTTGTTTTTTAATGCTCCGATGAGAAGCAAAAACTCGAAACATCAACATACAATTTTCCCGTCACCTACGTTACTCGTATGCACGTCCTATAATGTGTACACGTGAGGTTGAGCGGAGATAAGCTGTTTACACGTGACTGTGGTTTCGTTGTTATGTATTCAGCATTAACTGCTTAGTGGTCTGTAATGAACGTGACCAGTTATTTATCAAACGAATGAGCGAGCTACGAATAAAAAATGAGTCATTCGAGAAATCTAACTTCTAGCTCACTTAAACAAAGAGTTCTCCTGCATTTAATAATTGAGAGGAATACCCTCGCGTTTTATAAGGAAAAAATAATTCCCCTGCCTCTTTTTTTTTTTTTTTTTTTCTGACTGAGAGCTTTGGCGCCTCTATACTTGTAGATATTACCTAAAGGTATTATCTTAATTTATCTTAATCTAACGTTTATCATTAAACTGAAGGCATATTTACCTAGCATCAGATGTTGCTTTAGCTTAGCCGCCATAAATTTTCTAAAGTATAAGAAGGACATGAACCATGTTCTATATCGAAATGATGGGTAGTACAATATTGGACTGCTGGTGCCTAATAATTGCTCCCCCAATTTAGCTTACCGTAAGAAGATTCCTCGCAGCTGTTTAGAAAATCGGTGAGTTACATCTCAGATCGCTGCAACTTCACTAATATGAGCCACACTGAACGCTGAACACTGTCCACAGAGACGGCAGTAAAGGCAATAAATTTGAATTTAAATCTAAGTTTGTTTCAAGTTCGGATTTCACGTTCCCATTCCATTTTGTTCTCCTTGGCAGCTCGGGAACTTCAAGAATTTAAATTTGCTATGCAAATGTTTTTATTAGGCTTTTTTTACATTATAAGCTAGGAATTTTAAATGTTGAAATTACATCAACCTCGGGTTTTGGTTTCAAATCCCATCTGAAACTCGGATTTTTTTTCCCGAGTCGATGTCATGTTTTATATTGTTACATTTTTACCAACCTGGAGCTGAAAGGGCCACCCTGCTCAAATAAAGTAGACTTTGACTTATGTATTTGTGTAACATGTATTTTTGTAAACAAAGCACACTTTTACAGCGAGGCGATACAAGGAGCTCGCGACAAACAGGCTAAAAACGCTCTTGAAAGTGTCAAATAGTATCTGGTTTACTAAACGTATCGGGCTCAGCCCTTCTTCAGTATATGAAATGAGCGAGCCACGCCAAATTGAATTTTTTTCACAGTCTGTTGTTTTTGTTTGTCTCTTTTTGTGTCTTTTTTTTTTTTGGCCGTGTTTCATTTTGAAAATTTGTATCCGAATACCATCCAAATATTTTCAGCGATTACAAGTTTGCACGACGTTACCAGCTTTATTCGCGGGCCAAGGAAAGTTCCCATGTATCAGAGTGAGCACTTGCGCTGTAAACCTTCTCAGCTCAGACATCAGAATCATATGCAGTTGAATTATTATGAAACGTACGTGTGCCGCGGAATGGTGTAAGGTTTCGGTTACAATCTTTTCACCTTTCGTAATAATTCTGAATTACATCATAGCTATTAGAGAGGGATGCCTAACCCTGCAAACTTTAAAGGAACAAATATGTCAAGATTTATGTTGGAATTTAAGGTCCGCGATCGTGATTATCAACCGTGCTCGAGGGCTATACTGGGGAATATTTTCATAATGTCGTGGTATTACGGACCTCGCTGCGCCCGGCGATTATTGTAAAAAAAAAAACAACAACAAAAAGCAAAAAACAAAAAAAACAAAAACCGTGCTCGAGGGCTGTACTGGGGAATATTGCCCTAATGTAATGGCAGTACGGACCTCACTGCGCTCGGTCGGTACAAACCGAACGAGGGCCAATATTTCCCAGTGCGGCTCGAGCAAGCTAGGTTAGTAAGTAGTTTCTCTTATTCTTCCGCCATTTCAGCTTGAGTAAAAGTAATAAACAAACTGCGGTGACAAACGTAACAAAACAACGCATGTTGTAAAAACCTTGATTGGAGAACTTAACGTTTCGTATGCTTCTACATACATCATCAGAAGTAGAAAACGGTTAGCTGGATTACAATAAACTTAAACGAGAAGACTAGTACCTAATAAGAAAAAGCGGTACCCAATAAGGAAAGAAATGACAATGAATCTAAATGGTAATATTCAGACTTAAAATCTGCTGAAAAAAACAAAACAAAACAAAACAAAACATATAAATGGCTAGTAGAGAAGAAGTTTCTCACTACCAACATTCTCTTTAAGTGCTGTTTGCAAATCACGAATCAATAGTGTTTCTTTAATTTTACAATGTACATCAGATCGTCCGTAGCTAAAATGTCAAAGTGATCACATTTTATCCTGTGGCCTGTCAGGGTCATATTGTCTGCCACGGCAGAAGCGTGGTTAGTACTCCTCAGCGCTTTAAAATGCTCTGTTTCCATGTCATGCAACCGACGCTTTGTTTTTCCAATGTAACGGGCATTACAATCCCAACACCCAGCCTTGTACACAACCTTCGACATAAGGAACATAAGGGACATGGAGATATAAGGGATGTATTTTATTATATGACACTCCGGCCATGCTTGTTTATTGAATCTGCCGGCTTTCGAAAACAAAAAAATTACACAGCTTATGACTGTTTCCATAGAAACAGTCCGGATGGCAAAATCCCGACCAAGAAAGAACCAATCAGAAAGTTTGGATTTACCTCAAGATTACCTTGCCATAAAAATGAAATGTCTTATTTTGTCTTCATCTTTACAGACTGTAATTTGTATTGGTAATGCCGTTTATTGTGGAAATGCTTCATAAAGTTGTTGTTGTTGTTGTCTTCCTGCACTCTCACATTTTGATGGAATTACCTATAACCTTTCTATTGTTAAGAGCTGTTTTCAATTGAGTGTCGAAAGTAATTAATCAGGCAGTTACTTTGGTTTTGGTTTTAAGACATTCAATTGAACACTGCTCTAGTTGCCTGGACACTATCGTGTTTATACAGGTTTTGGGCACGGTTAAGGCCAAGAAAGCGAACAAAACTGACACGGAACAATGGTTTCTACCGCCGGGTTTTTAATTAGGTGTCGTAAAACCAAAACCAAACTAATTACTCACCAATTAGACTACTCAATCTCAAACCGTAGTAAAACCAAACTTGCCAAAATCAAAGTAATTGCTTGATTACTTTCGACACTCAACTGAAAACCGCTCTAATCCATAAATTTCATTTTTGCTTCGCAACGCTCAAAAAAGGGTGAGAAATATTTTAGAGTGTTTAAGTGGTGTAAAGACATTCGGTGAAAACCCGTTCATCAGTTGATTTCAGACCACTAACACTGATGTTACTCTCCAAACTGCCTTTACAGCATTTAAGAAACTCTAACATATTTCTCATTATTTCATACTTCTCTCAAGAAGTTTTGATTCTGCAATACCTCAATATGCTACCAGAAATTACAAAACAAATTCAACGAAAAAAAGAAAACGAAGTTTTTAATCAAATATAGTATTTTAATTTGCTCTACATCCTGTTTTCACGTGGGAACAATATCGTTTCAAAGGACCCGCGCGGAAATGCACAACGGCAATGGTCGCCTAAATGATCGTGTTCTTTCCTTTGTTTGCTATTTTAATTTTTTTTTTGGCAGATTGTTTGTCAATGAAGCAATAACTTATTGATTTAATTTTACCAAATTTCCGTAAAGTTGAAAACTCTACCACGTTTAGCTCTGCTGAATGACCAGCTGTCTGGGCAACAAAGGCAACAAAAACAACAGCAATTGAAGTGTATTTTGTTTGCTATTTTATTTTATTTTATTATTATTATTTTTTTTTTTTGGCAGATTGTTTGTCAATGAAGCAATAGCTTACTGATTTAATTTTACCAAAACTTCCGTAAAGTTGAAAACTCTACCACGTTTAGCTCCGCTAAATGACCAGCTGTCTGGGCAACAAAGGCAACAACGACAACAGCAATTGAAGTGAATTCGTCCGCATTGAATGAACCGTAATTACTAAACGTGGAACTGTCGGACCTTTCTGCCGTGGCGAAACTCCTTTTCAGTTAACAGCTTAAAAAAAAAAAAATAATAATAACGAATCTTTAGACAGGATTAACCCATCAGTACTATAAAGTACTGTTATCAAAGGGGTCCTGTAAGATTTAAAAATTGATTTTTCTATGAACGCAACCCGACTCCCGACAAGTTCAATCCCTTGCACTGTAACGTTTATAACTTAAGCAAACACTCCATGTCAAAGCATAGCCACATGAAATGTCACTAGCCAATACTTTTCTTGAAAGAACTTGCGAAAGAGTTTCTATAAACCCTTGTGCAAGTCTGTGTTTCCATGCAGTAACTTTCGAGTACTAACAAACGATTCCACAGCTATGCAAAGCACATCAATGCAAAGCACATCAATGCATTTATAACTGACCACATTCCCACGACTTTATGAATGAATGGTCAAAGTGGGAGGTCAGTGTTTTCGCTGCTCATATAGGTTTACCTTTGGCAGAGAGTTCTTACTCTCTATGGACTAAAAATTCTAGGACATCCAGGACACAATTCGAATTTTTCAAGGACTCCATCCCTTAAAAAAAGAGACCCCTAGATTGTAATGGCTGAGATTCAGCGAATACCTGCCACATTTGTTTAAGTCTATAAGTTCTAGTACGTGGAATCAGTCAAACAGTTCGCTTGGTTTTTTCATGAGTGTTGACCCAATGTTTTTTTTCCCCAGGAATTCTAAGTCGTTGAATTTCGATTTACAAGCCCTGTTTGGTATCTGGAGATTTTACACGGACTTATTCCATTCCACGGCCTTATATAAGGCTTCCATCCTGTGAACTTTTCAAGCATACTTTTTTCAAGTGACTCCAAAAAGGAAACAAAACACTTGCTAGCCCTACATGAACTTACACCGAAAGAGATTCCAATGCTTGACCTTGGAACCACTTAATGAAAATCATTCTGACCACCTGAGCGGCACTGAATCAAAGAATACAATTAGACGTAAAATAAAACTTGGAGAGGTTTTATTCCATTCCATAAATTTTGATACATCGCTACAGTTTTACGCCTGTTTCCATTAAATAAATAAAATGTAACGTTACTTTGTGCCTTAAACAATGTCTTAATACTTTATACCAAGGGGGAAAACAACAACCGGCACAAATTAACTCGCACCCGCGTGCCAATCTTTTTATCGAATGCAAAACTAATTCCTGCAATTGGAGCAGTGAAAGATAATATAACTGTCGCTTATAGGTAGAAAAGATCGCTCACAATGAGAATATATGTACAAGCGGTCTAATATAGTTGTACATGTATATGATCGAGATAATTCTTTGAACTAAAATTTTAAAATGATTTCAAATTCCATTACTTAATTATGAAATTGGGAAAGTAGGCGGGTTCACACGAGAGGAATTGTCCGTGGAACTTATCCTAGGGACAAATTGTTCCTGGGATAAACAGGCCCGTACGTTAAGGGACGAGTTCCATCGAGACTCTCGTCGTGTGGACTAAATTTGGGCCAGTAGCTTCTCTACTTTATGTGACAAGTCGCTGCGACGACGTCTAAAAAACATAAGCCTACAGAAGCCGGAGAAAAACACTGATCTTCCAACAAACCCCTCCAAGGGATTCGAGAATGGGAAAAACTCTCTCGCTCGTGAGAAACTACCTACCTTAAAGCTGTAAAAATCAATTTGAATTTAATACATCTCATAAAAATGAAATCATTACGACGTAAATTTATATATTTTTATCTCATTACGAATATTTATTTACTTAATTTAATCTATGTGGATAAACTTTCTAACCATAAAGAAACCTTTACTTCTACTCTGAGCCCATCAGTATATTAATCATTTTTTAACGAGCAAAGCAATGCTACAACAGGCGTTTCCAAACGCAAAAACCGTGCGGAATTGTTCGCGCGCTTTAAACTTTAAGTGAGTTGAAGTCAAAAGAACTGCAAGAGAAAAATATGCAACTCCATTTGCAAGGACACTGATGAACTGATAAATATGGACTTCTTACTAACCAAGCGCGAGGGCCGTACGGGAAAAAATTTGCCCGAGTTCATAGCAGAAACGAACGCACAAAAACGACCGAGGGCCAATATTCCTCTGTACGGCTCGAGCAAGCTAGGCTGATAGCAAGAAGTTTGTTATTGGCACTCGAAAACAAAACAAAATATACGGTATGACAAAATACCGATAAACAAAGAACCAATCAGTCCGATTGGATTTAACTCAAGACTACCCTGTCATATAATAACGATCCATATTTCATACTAAGAGCTGATAAAAACAGCATCACATTCAAACAATGGCAGCAAGTGAGCCAAGAGATGACGAAACAAAACTTTTCCTGTGTTTCCATAAAGTTACCTAAAGTCGCTTTGCCACGATATTGTGTATTAAATAACTACTGTCAAATTTCTTTCAAATCCGAAGGAACGTCAAAAACGTAAACAAGAAGAAACTAATAGCGAGGTCCAAGAATGACGTTTTAAGGCAAACAGGAAAAATTGGATCTGATTTTTTTTTTTTTTTTTTTAAAATAACAGAAATTAAATCTCCTGTTCAAAGCAAATATAAATATCCTCATTTTGGTGCACAACTTTTTTCCGTTTACTTAACGTAAACGTCTTTCTCAACCTCTCTAAACCAAAGATACATTAAGAAGATGGTTGAGATTGAAACAGAACGAACGACGAACTTAAAAACTTAAACCGAAGTTTTCAGTTTATCAACATCAAATTTCCTATCACAATATCAATACATACCCACGAACACAGTTTAGGAGAATTCACGACAAAATCACGAAAGAAAAAAGTGTCTCTGACAAACTACTGCGACAAATTCTCCCAGTTTGAACCATAAGAAATGTATTGGACCGGTTAGGAGAAGTTAAACACTGGCACGTGGGCAAAACGTGCAACGGCTTCACGAGAAAGACCAGTTACGGAAAGACTGCAACGCCAATTTTTGTTCATTTTTCTCTTTTCTGCCGACATTTCAAAATTATAATAGTTTTATCGAATACTTTAATCACGAGGAACACAATAATAAAATGTCCTCTAATTGTGATTTGAACCATCATGAGCAGCGCAATAATTTATGTTATTAATAAGCCGATATTCTCATCAACTTAATGCACACTCTTTTTCTGTTTGTACTTTGAACTTTGTCAGCAATTGTTCGAGACAGCCTCGCCCCTCAACTTACATGAAAACGATAATCACCTTATTATCTACGTGGGATTGATACGGTAATTCAACGCTTGTCCAACTGACGTTTAGCACTTTGACTTTTTGAACAGCCAATAAACTGCAATGAAACAGAACCAACGCGAGTCCAAGGCCCCGTCCACACTACGGCGGAGGAATTTGAAAACGGAGGTTTCACCCTGAAAACGCATAAAATGTTCTGCGTCCAGTCCACCATACGCTGGAGGAATTCAAAAACGCATCAATCACCGCTTCTTTTGGATCTGTGCTTGAAGAAAACTAGGAAAAAGAATCACAAGATTATGGTGACAACTTTACTTCGTTTTCAAAAAGCTCCGATTTCAAAATGTTTTCCGGCTACACTAAAACGCAAAGCCAGCGTTTTCCAATGCCTCCGGTTTGAAGATCGTTTTCGAAAAGCTTCGTTTTCGAGACGGATTAGTGAGGACGGCGGGCCAAACCGTATAAATAGAGCTACGTTTTGAAGTTTCTCCGGCGTCAGAGTGCAGACACTGCCTAATCGTCACTTGTGTCACTTTAAAATAGCATCATTAAATCTACCTCACCAACGTCGACGTGATGATAAGCTAATCAAGCGTCCTGCTAGACTAGTTTGTTTGAGAAATCGCTCTCAAAACTGCGTCAATTTAACGTTATTAAGAAGGCGCATTTCCATTCTCTGCAATGTGCACTTCTTTGTCGGCAGTGGCCACCGGCCTATAGACGTAATCGCCATCTTCCTGTGCCTTCTGCCACTTCCGTCTGTTGGACAGAACCGTGTCCAGAACAACTTGAGTCTCCGGTAACAGAGAAGACAGCAACCTGGAGGCCAGTATACAAATATTAAATCATTTCTACCACAAAAAGAATAGGCCATTTCCGTGTTACCTTGCGCGTGCCTCAGTTTCAAAACGAGTCCTAGTGCAAAACCTTGCTGATGAAAATGAGTTTGATTTGCATGAAAGTGAACATGCAGGCGAAACACATTTCCACATGCATGGTTTCGCGCGAAGACTCGTTTTGACACAGAGGCAAAAGGCAACTCGGAAGTGGCCTATAGATCGCTTTCACGTGACGTCATGACTTTCTAAAATCCAAAACGAAAGAGCCACCAAAGTTTTGTCCTCATCAGGCACAAGAGGCGGTATATTTATATCTGTTTACGATTTTACAACTCAATAGCGTGCTTCGTTTGGAATCCAGAGCATTTTGAATTTCAGGGTTATGGAGGTGCGTGACACAAGGCTATGATCGAGTTTGTCGAAAAATATATACTTATCCCATGATTTTGAGCCTTTTTAGAAGTTAAAGCATAAGGGAAAGTGCTTATGTAAATGCTTGTTTGATCAGTATTGATAATCAGTCGCCTAGATAGCCAAAGTAAGTTCCAGATGTTTACACTATTTTCCGGTAGCCATATTGGTGTACCACGGAGGTACACCAACATGGCGTTTTCTTATTGGGCTCTGTAATTATCGGCGAAACATTTCGACGAATATCTAAAGTTTGGGGAAACGCACAGGCCTAAAACTTGGAGAAGTGGCTTATTTAGTTATCTTCTATAACATCATAAATTCATAGCTTTTTCCACTGGATGGTTTCGATTTATTTTTTTATTGCGTGACAGTGAAAACGATCTATTAAAAGGGACAACGCCACCCGTGCAATATTAGAATTAGAGAAGAAGGCTTCCTAGAGGTTTTTGGACATAACTTTATTTATCAATAGTGAGTAATAACAACAAGGGATTTTGGTTATAAGGATCAAGAGAACGCGTGTTCGCGCTTCTACTCTGTTACCTGTATACAGGAAGTGCAATCGCATCCAAGAAATCGATTTGAAGTTTAGGAATGCACGCTCGCTCTCTGTCCATCATTTCCATCGGTGTTATCCCCATGTGTTTTTCCTAGAAAGAACGAAATTAAGTATATTAAACTAGTAAAATCTGACGGGGCGAAAGAGAAAATCAAAAACTAGAATAGCAAACATGAAGCAACAATACACGAGAAGAAACGACGTCTGGCCAAGGCAGCCTCATTCCCATTCTCCTTCCCGCCCCTAAGAGGCCCTTGGAACGAGGCTGTGGATAAAGGTAGTGTACCTCACAGAGAACCAAAGTCGTGAAAGCAGTGAAATTTATTTTAACTTCTAATTTAGCAAAGTAGGTACACAAAGCGTGCTCTGCTGACCGAGTTGAAAATGATCTTACCTTATCACCTTGCGAGAAGAACTCAGTATATATCAAATCCTGTGCACACACACACAAAAAAAATAAATAAATAAAATAAGTCAAAATAGCCATCGTGATAGACAAGATTGGAAAGAAGGATAAAGAAAAATCCAGCCATATTCAAAACAAAATAATTGTTGCTGATTTTTCTGTTGCTGTTGTTGTTGTTGAGGCAGTGTAGTCTTCTGTATATTGTGTGTTCGTTTTCACACGGACTTTGATTCGGCCTCACAGGACACTGAGCTTCCAGTATCATTCTGGAATAATCTAGATTCCTCGAACGCCATTTGCAATCAGATTGTTACTCAAACAAGGTTTTGGTGCTCAGTACGTTTTCATAGTGGCAGAGGGAATCTTACACTACGATTAGTCCCTCTTTCGTTTAGTCCGTCAAGCGTGCCCGTAAATAATAACTTTTCAGGTAGAAATGGCCGCGCGAAATCCTGGGAGTGAGAAACGCAAGAAAGGAGGGTCCATCCTCTCGCGCGCTTCTTGCCCCCAGAATTTCGCGCAGGCATTTTTTTTTCTTGCGCGGTTTTCTTTCGCGTCACCCACGATTGACTAAGCGAAAGAGGGACTAACCGTAGCCTAAGGGAATCCCAGTTAGTTGCAGGAATCCCCGCTTAATTTAGCTTACCGCTGTTCTTCTGGTTCCCTCCCAGTTCTTGGTTTGGTCGGACAAATCACTGGCCGTCATCATGAGGAACAGAAGGAGAGTGTGATGGTCTTTAGAATTACTATTAAAACCATCTGTGAACAAAATGAAGAGAATCAGTACAAAAAGAAAGACAAGGGTCTGTCCAGTGTTTGTTGGTAATATTACAGCAAACCAGTGTCAGCCTCAGGCCTCCTTCAACGGTTCTTAGTTTCTTAAATATGGACCTCTTCGATTTGGAACACAACAGGGGTGTCAGCATGTCAAACGGTCATGGAAACTAGATTGAAATGCAATGGGAACTATACCCCATGTGACAGTCAGTCAACGGCAATTTACCCCACCACAGAGTTTGTGTCGAATACAAAGGCTGTGCACAACGCCAAAGCAATACACACGTACTACAGCTGTAAGGAAACTACAACCAGAGGGGAACATCAGGCCTGTTATGAATAGTTGGTTTGTTTTCTATCGACACGGTCTTAATGGCAGTGAACTGATGTATTTAACGCTGAACATGTACACTAATTACACACACCTTCCGCCATCTTTTTAATGTCCTGAAGGATTCTCAAATGATGGGCGAGGTCTGTTGCTAAGATTATGTCTCGTATAAGGCTGAACACTTCTTCAAAGTCCTAAAAATATAAAGAAAATAATAAACAGTTTAAATGAAGCCCCAAAAGTGCGCAAACGTGAAACTTCAAATGATAATTAGTATAAATCTACTACCGTTCTATCACGAATGCCGTTCTCTGATCAGTTATGCTACTCACTATCTATTCTGTTGTGGATAGTGAGTAACCCAGCATTGTGGGCTTGTTAACAAACCGTCTGTGAAGTAGTGACGAGGATTTTGATAAAGTTTTGAACGACTAATAGATTTAAACTAAAAATACATATATCTATATTACTCGCTCTCGATTTCTATGCGTGATAGTTGACTGGGGCTGCGGCCTCGTCAACTATCACCGGATAGAACTCGAGAGCGAATAATCTAATTGTTGATTATCGAAGTCGTTCTACCAACTGTGAACGCGCGTAGTGTCAGATCTTTACATTTTATAATATCCGATGGGCCAACAAAAGAGTGCATCACCTGAAAATGCTGACAAAAGCATCATACCTTGCCGGTTAAATTTTTGAAAATATTACACCCTTCTGAGTTGAGAATACACATGGTCTGTGCAAAATGGTGTCTCTGAAGAAAAAAAAGGAAAACATTAATTGAAAACTAAAGTAATCTTCATTAATTATTCATGGGAAGAAGGTCATGGTAAAATTTAAACTTCGTTTTGTATAGGGTTACCAAAACTAAAACGTTTTTCACATAATTGTAAAGTGAAGCTGTTGTCGTGTACCTCTAGTACAGATCCTTTTGAACTATATAGCGCTGCAAGCGTGGAACCCTGTTAACAAACGCAAGCACAGGAAACAAGTAAACAAAACCAAATTTGAAACAAAGAAATTGCTCAACTTGAAAACAAGAAAACCAGGATTGTCTACCTACTGAAGAAACCTGGAAGGAGTTTGTAGTTCCCCTGTGGTCAATATCGTGACACAAGCAAGCCACCAATAATGCCAGCATCTCAATGTCCCTGCAAGGATATGAAAACACAATGAATAGCAGAAAATCAACAGGGCTACTAAAACACAACCTGGACTTACCTTAAGCGACTGCTAATCTTTGCATTCTTGTACAGAAGGTAACAGAAGTGCGCTACAGTGAATGCGTGAATCCAGTTGTGGTATGGAGGGTTTCTGTAACCTTTTCTAACCATTAGCAAGAACCTGCAATCAGGGCATGGCAATCAGTCTCACTTCTCTTATGGACGGTGCCTACTAAATACAAAGGTTTTTGCGCCAGGTTAGGACCACGCGGGAAAAGTAGTTCTTTGCAAGGGCTATTGGAATCTACAAAGAAAAAATGGGGTAACCACGCATTTTTTCGAGATAATTAGCCTTGAATCTCAACAAAAATGCTGACTTCAGCGTTTTTCTGAAAATAGAAGGAGAGGATATTTCTTCGCAGCTTTCTTTAGAATTCGCCTTTACATACAGAAAAGCGAACACATTTATAAAGATCTGAAAACTACATGGTAAATGGTGACATAGAAAAATCATTTTTGGTATTTTTTTAATAACAAAATCGTTGCAACAGCACTTTTAGCGTCTCTCACAGCCTTCCTCTGTTTCAGCTAAAATACAGTCTAAATATCTTTTGCTCACAACCCGAAACTAATCACGTGCCGAATAGGCTTGCCACTTTTATTTCATAATATAAAATATAGGGGTAACCACGCGTTTTTTTAAGTTATTGATCCTTTCTGAAACTTTTTACGGTGCCCGTTACATTTTTTCCTGTCACCTCCCCAGTAAGTAAAACGTTTACACATCTCGCACTTGTTTTGCGCGCGCACTACGCCATCTGCAGGTACATGTTTACAATTGGATTTCAGTATAATTTTCGACAGATAACAGCTATTGTTTCAGCTGGAAGACGTTAACAGTTAGTGGTTAGCGATATGCTGCTGTTCTGGTGTTCTTGGTTAAAGTACATGTTCATTAAACTTGATTTGGTCACAGTAGGAAAATTTTGCTTTCAATTCAGTCGCGTACTTGGTAGCGTAGTTGATTGCGTCATGTCAACCCAGCGCGCGCGTGGCGCTTAAACCATGCCTTGCGTAATGCGCAGAACGTGTGCGCACTAACAAAAGTAGGCACCGTCCTTAAATGAAAGGTTCATGATGACGCGAGGACAGTCGTTTAGAAGAAACTGAACTGAACAAGACAACAGGTTCAAACACAAATGACAAGGTATACCACACAATAATACAAGATTTCCTTTTTTGCTGAGCTCGAAATAAACGTTCGTTTTCACCTAAACGAGCACGTTTTCTAATGCATAAATTTAAATGAAATTTTATCACGATTAACAAATGCAAAGGAAAAAAAAACTACTGGTCTAAGATATTTTTATTTGAATGCTGTAAAGCACTCGTCTTTAGCATTTTTTTTTCCAATTCAAATAGCTCACTGTTAAACAATTAGATTATGAGCTCGAGATTTCTATCGCGCGATCACGCGATAGAAATCGAGTGCGAAAAATTGTTTTAGTATAAATCTACTAGTCGTTCTAAACTTTATCTAAATCCTGTTCACAGACACTTCGAAAACGCCTAGGAAGCGGCCGTCATTTTGTTAACAAGGGCACACTGCTACGCTACTCACTATCTAACACAGAATAGATAGTGGGTAGCGTAGCCAATCAGAGAAAGAAATTCGTGATAGAACGCTAGTAGATTTATACTAAAAGACAATAGTCTATTTTGTTGAACGGCTACCAAATTTAAATGCAAGAAATAACTTTTTTTCAGAAATTATAGTTCCCCTTCCTGATTCCTGGAGTTCCTTAGGAAAAACCTGGGGTTTTAAAATTTATTAAAGCGCTCATCCACACTATGCAAAAATGATTAGCCCGGTTTTCAACCGGTGATTGCGTAAGCAAGCTATTGGTTTGAGTGGTACAGAGTCAGATTATTGATTGCATTTTTACAATATGTATGATCTAATTACCAAGTACGCCATTTTAAATAAATTTTAAACACCCCTTTCTCGATGGAATCACCTCAAAGAAGCCGGCTTGCATGATACATTAGCTGGCTAGCTTCGTCTACTAATTACAAAACTAAAAAGACCCACTTTGATTACACTTTAAGTTTTAGAATGAAATAATTCTCACAAAAACATACCTTACTAACACCTCCTTGGGAATTTTCCATTTCTCTATCATTCCAAGGTCTTGAAACATACAAAGACACGCCTAAAAATGGAAAACGTTTACGGGGTGCACAACATTGAATTTCATTTACAGTGGATCATTTTATATAGTGAAAAAAAATTATTAACAGAACGGAGAATCACGTGAGACTTACTGGAATCGTCGAATCTGGAATGATAATTCTTGGTGCACAGGTAAAAAGACTAAATTGTGGGTTTATTTCTTGCGTGGTGGAAATTGATTTATTAACTAGAGGATCCACCTCAGCTTGGGTGACCTTCATGGGAATGGGAAAACAAGCAGAAATAAAGCGTCAGTCAGAAACAGTGTTTAAACGGGTTTACAGGTTAATAAGAAAAGAGATACCGAAGCAGAAACTGAATCGTTCATGCTAACGTGGAAAAGATTCGCCTATACTAACCGTCATATGGTAAATCATCATTTCACTTGACAGGCGGCTTCTATGCGACGCATCCTTGGCATTCTTGTATAAAAGTGACTGAAGTAAAACGGAACGTGTTAAGGATGCCCATGTGTCATGCATGTGTTATCATACGGGTCGTACGTGAAAAGCTCTTTTTATATCACAATGGCCTATCCTATCACCATCATAGACCTTTGCATGAAAGGCGCCTAAATTTGAATAACAATACTTATACATCCTTTGCCTCACATTCATGTAAAAAAAATCATTTTGAAACGGAAACATAAGTACGAGGCTGCGCAATATAGATCGTTTTCACGTGGCGTCATGACTTTCTAAAATCCAAAACTAAAGAGCCGCCAAAGTTTTCATCCTCATCAGGCATAAGAGGCGGCATATTTATATCTGTTTACAACTTCACAGCTAAATAGCGCACTTCGTTTGGAAACCAGAGCATTTTGAATTTCAGGGTTATGGAGGTGCGTGACACATGGCTACGATCGAATTTGTTGAAATACTTATCTCGTGATTTTGAGCCTCTTTAGAAGTTAGAGCATTAGGAAAAGCGTTTATGTAAATGCTTGTTTGTTCAGTACTGATAATCAGTCGCCTAGATAGCCAAAGTAAGTTCCAGATGTTTACACCATTTTCCGGCCGCCATATTGGTGTTGCTGAGTTCCGCACGATTTATCGTCTGCACAGAGCGATATACCGTTTTTACCTAATGAAATACCGATGTAGCTGACCGATACATCGTTTCTGCCCAGCAAAACATTCCGCGATTATCGTTTGCATTACTTTTGCACAGATAAGTAACCACCTAAGTTATCACAAGGCAACTTACATGGAAAATGCTCACACCACAGTAGATAGCAAACGCTCTGGTGAGGTCTTCATCAAACTTTGTGAAACAAGACCCTGTCAAACGAAAACGATAGAAGTCCTTAGATCAACATAACACCGCTCCTAACTGATCTCATAACCATACGTATCTTATGCTGTAAAGTAAATACGCTACAGTACTCCATGGGCTCAGTGGCTAATCGTGATAAACACCACATTTCCACGGCAACCGAAATATAATTGCTTTAAACTTTGTAGAATTCACGAAAAGCAAAGTGTTTCCTTTTCCGAAAGGGTTAAAGATTTCGGAAATGCTAGTGACCGCTTGGGAGATTTTCAAAATAGGAGCATTTGTGTTCTCCCGAACAGCAACTCATCAATAAAAACACTGAAAATCTCTAAAGTTTGTTTAACATACCATTTGTTTTATTGCATAACTGTGCTACTCCAATCACCTCTGGAATAAGACAAAAAAAATAAATAAATAATAAAAATTCGATATTGTACTAACCAACTTTGACGAAATTATTTTTTTTTGAGACCAACATACGTTGCTCACCTTCTTCATCTTTAATCGGAAAACACAATATATTCCTGAAAAAAAGTAACGAAAAGAACCAAGCTGTTCAGTTGTTCGTTTTAATTAAAAGAAATAACTTGACCAATTTTATACAATAAGTAAAGACGCTTGGCCCCTACTAATTGGTCGAATGTTATTACGTATGTAGTAAATAGTAGTATATGGTGCCGCATTTTGTTCGCAAAAATGCTAAACCTCCAAACGTTCCAAAGAGGAACAATTGCAAAACCATTTAGGTTATTGCAGGAACAAACAAGAGCTTAAAAAGCACTTCGTATTGCCTTCACTTGTGATTTACAAAGTATTCGTCTGACATTCTGTGTGGTTCATACTGCTTAGGTACCCTAGCAATTTATAGGTACACTGTATGTTCCATGTAATATATCAAACACGAAAGACCGTGTTTGACCACATTTTAAACACCGAGAAGAGGTTGAAAATACGACGTGTGGCGGAGTATTTTTGACGAGCTTTGAGGTGTTTAGAAATGTGGTCAAACACTGTCTTGAGTGTTTGATATATCTTCTCAATCGAAACTAAAACTAAGGAGAAAACTCGGAAATAAAATCGTAAAATCTCTGCTTATTAAGATCATATATCCAAGCACCGTCAAGGTTATGATTTCCTATGTTTAAACTCGATGGATTATTGATGAGTTTGAGAAATAGTTTTACCAGTTGTAACGGATGATGAGCAAATTTTTAAAGGAATATGAAAAGCGAACAAACCTCTACCTTGTTCTGAAGCCGGTTTTCTCATCGAGACCCTTGTAGAATAGTGGATGGCTATACGCGTCTTTAATGTTGAGCATCTTTCCTAATAACAAAGCAAAATCGTTGTAAAGAGGTGGTTTTACAGTAAGGAAAATGCAAAAAGGTCAGTAAACTTGTGGAAAGGCACTTTCTATATAGAATGTTTTTACTTTGTATTATAGAATGTGCCTTTCCACAAGTTTAATGACCTTTTTACATTTTTCTTTTTTTGTTTTTTGGCGCAATACATCAGTGCATTGTAGTTCCCAATTTCTTACCTGTTGTGGCAACATGTCCCACTATTCCTTGCGTGATGGGAATCCTTACTTCTGGCTCCTGCGTAATATAAGCCAAATTAAAACTGGTTGTGTCTTGCGGGAGTAAAAGCTTCTTCTGTTGAATGTTCACACATATATATCTATCGAGTACTTCCCATTCCCATAGTCAGGCTTCAAATACAGCAATTCCAAAGTAAATTAAGCAAAGTAAATTACGCAGGAGATAAAGAAAGAACATTAAGCGCGCGAGTACATGCGTGTAGGTTAAGTCGGCATACCAGCCAAGTGGCCCGCCAGGCCGGAGCTTATCCCGGTTTCTGTACCATGAAGCAACTAGGAGTAACTAGTCCATCGCATGGTTACCGCCAGCATTAAGTTCGCCGGTAACCATTTATACACCTGGGTGGAGAGAGGCACTGTCTTGCCCAAGAACACAACACAATGTCCCTGGCTAGGGCTCGAACTCGGACCGCTCGATCCGGAGACGAGCGCACTAACCATGGAGACCACCGCGCCTCCCACGAGCACTTTCGTGTACCTAAACCAAACTTATGTCCACTTCTTATACAGTTCGTCTTTCACTGACAACGTTTTAGCGTTTGTATTTATTATTTTAGTCCCGAGTCAACTATCACGCAACGAAATTCGAGAGCAAATAACATAATTGTTTCATTATAAATCTACTGATAGTTAAAAACTTTATCTAAATCTTCTTCAGAGACACATCAAAATACAAAGAAGCGGCCGTCATTTTGTTAACAAGGGCACACTGCTACGCTACACGCTATCTCCAAAAGAATAGATAGTGAGTAGCGTAGCCGATGAGAGAACGGTATTCGTCATAGAAGGCTAGTAGAGTTACACATGGTTAGTTCCCGGCGAATTGAAAAGGACTCGAATTACATGTATACCAGCAATTAATTGGCATTTTAATGTGATTTGTCATTACATATATACCACAAACCTTTCCTTTTTCTCCATTTGAGGGAATTTCTCCATCGAACACTTTTGCAACAAGTTCATCTCTTTCTTTGTCCCAAAGAAACAGAGAGCACCTACGTGAAAATAAATCGTCATGAGTTGAAACAGTTGTTAAATTGCAGTACACCAAGGACAAAGGGATTACATCTTAACCCAGGTTTAGCTTGGTAGGTTTGATAGCATTTCTTTATATAAAACACAAATAGAAACATGCACTTGGGACAGTTTGATAAAAGACAATGCAAAAAGTGGAAAATATAGATAAAATAAATATATAAATAACCAGCAAAAATAGATATGATGTGACAACATTTTATATTTGAAACTGAATTTACAGCTAATAGTAATCCTGAATTCGCTTACCATTATTATTATACATTGAACTCACTATCTCTCTTCTGATTGGCCGAAAGCGTACAAGTAGGCCAAAGTTAACATACGACTGTTTACTTATCTTTACCTTTCGGCATTAGTCAAATTGCGCGCCTCTGTCATGATTTCACTCAGTAAAACGNTTAGAATGCATCACCTATTTATAGCTACAGTGTACGCTTAGTCAAGTAGCTATCAGATAACAGAGACGGAGAGTAGCGCGACTCCTGCACGATAGTTAATGGAGGGAAATGGTTATGAAACCCGGTAAACATCAAAGAAGCAAACAAGCAGGCTAAGATGTATGTTGGAAGGTCCTTGACCTTGCACATCCTTTGTTTTATGCTCATAAACTTTTATTTCATAGCCATTTCCCTACCTATACGAAACGACATCCAGCAAAACATTTCCTCCTCGCACAAGACCAACTTCAGTTCCGTTCACGGTTTAACAACTATTCATTAGTCTTAAATGTATTCTCTCACCTACAAGTGTAAATAAGTTCTTGGCAACCTTCAGCAAATGCTGGATATAAAAGGAAAAAGTAATTGGATATACAATATGCAACTTTTACAGCGATCAATTGCCGACACAATATACAAGGAAATGAACGTAAATGGTTATAGGACCTCTCCCACTATTCCCAACAAAATATTTGGGAAAAACCTTCCCAAGATACAGCCGAATTGGGACATTCCATTTTTTTTTAATACCCCCACCGCCCCCCCTCCCCTGGCCAGCCGCCAACATGGAGGGGCAGATTCCGAGACCCTAGTTTTTTGTCATCGGCACCTTCGAACTTTGCATGCGAGGGGTTCAAAATTTTCTCGCAATCTTTATACAAATATTCCGACAGGGCTGATGCCAGCACAGGGAGCATACAATCTTGTTGAGTAGGATGACAGTAAATAAAGGAATGAAAAGAATGCATGGTTCATCTTTGTCTCCTGTTCTCATCTCTTACCCGAAACCGCTACCCACATTTCGTGCAAAACGCCGTAGCGCTAAACTCGTACCTGGCCCTTTTCGCGCGGAGCAACTTTTTTCCCTCTGTTTTGTTTTGTTTTTGTTTTTTTTTACTCTCATCCTACTCAACAAGATTGTATGCTCCCTGGGATGTCAATCTACGTGGTAGTATTAGCGGGAATATTGCGCGCGCGTAGTGCGTTTTACCGCTATGAACTCTGGGACCGATTTGGCAGAGCAGTCTTCGAAGTGAAATGCTCAGTCGCGGTAACAGACGGAACAGTAACTCATTTTGGGTATAAAAAGTTCTAGTTACGAACGGACATTCACACTTTTGACCTTCAGGTCACCGAATCATGACAGCAATGAAAGAGATAGTCCTTCTCGGGTAAGTATAACACAAAGCAGAGTAAAGCGATCCAAAATGTAGACGCATTTCTGCAGCAAATATCCCACGTGGCTCTTTCATTTTGCTTTCGTCCGACGTCGTTTCTCGTCTTTCTGCGCTTTGCTGTTTATTTTGTTTGGTAAATCAACAATAGCTCCTTTGTGGCGCGAAAATATGACCAGGTATATTTGTCCGCGGAAATTATATTATCTGTTCCGAGAAGGAACCTTCAATGAGGAACAAATAATGTCCAAGGACAAATATCCAAGCATATATTTTCGCGCGAAATGGAGGCTATTGTGTTTATCATCCTTCAAGTATTCTTCGCAATACGCGTAGTTTTGAAAATAGCGGAGTATCACTCGGATATTCCCTCGTTTTAGCCGGGGAATATTGAGTCACGAGACTCGTTTCAAGAGACCAACCGCGCACGAGCGAAAATATTTGATGAATTATACTCAGTTGTATATAGTTGAATGATTGAGATACTGTATTCTAATTTACATTACCTCTTGTTGCCTTTTAATCACCATCTCTCTTTCCCACTCTAACGTGTGTTCTACGTGTGCCGCAATATTCTCGCAACAAAATTGGACATTTTCCTCATCGAAGGAAGAAAACCTAAAGAAAAATACAACAATCAGAAACACCAGACGATCCTTACAACATCTTTGCTGCACTCGACAATGGATGCTAAAGTTGGCTAACAACCGCTATTTAATGAAATCTAATTTTTAAGAGTTTGTTGAAAATTTGTCTCATATGAACATAGAAAATTTAATATAATTTTCTAGAGCATTCTTGCATCAAGTCAAGATAAAGTACATGTAGATGTACTTCTTTTATACGGGTGACAAAGTCAAGTGTTTTGAAATACTTTTCCTTGACACTTCGAGGTACTTTGTGACTGTAAAACCTACCCACTAACAAAATCATTGCCGACATAGGGAGTGGGGGCGGGGNGGGGGGGATGGAAGGTGAGAGCAATGGAAGGTGAGAGCATGTAGTCAGGGTGTGAAGTGGGGAAAAAACAGCTAAAAGTTTTTGCAACACTGTGCAATGTCCTTTATTAGAAAAGGCACCAAGAGGTGGTAACCTTTAAGGAACACTTATAAACTTGGACTAAATGTATGGGAAGTAGGAGATGCTAACAATTCTGTCCCTCTATTCTCTGACACACAGTTAAAATTAAGAAAGAAAAGGAAACTGGCCCACTACATCCTTGCTCTGATTTGCAAACGTGCTCTCCATGAAATTTCGTTGATGGACACACTTGGGGGCAAATGTCTAAAGACTTGCATGAACATGTATTGCTGTCTAAAAATCTTATTTGAAGTCAGTGTTACCTTTTTTCTTGAAGTCTTTTGTTGAAAACACATGCTACAGCTATAACAGTGCCTGTTGTGAGGCTGACTATTGGAACACACAGCATTGACTGTACATAACAATCTGCAGGAGAGACATGAACATGTAAAAGGAACAACTAGAAATTCAGCCTAGAAGCATAACAATTAGAGCACTGTTAAGTTCTTTTAAGCACCCCCAACCCATCTCAATTAATTCTACATCAACAATCTCTCCTCGTAGATTTCCCACCCAAATCATGTCACCCAAGACACTTTAAAACAAAAACAAGGATTAATTCTATTGTGCACTGTTTGAACTTTGTATTTCGGAAAATTATAAACATTGTTGCTCCAAAACCACATACAACTATGCATACCTTTATTTATTAATTTTGCAGACCATCAAAAATAATTCTTAATAAGGGTGGTGTCCAACTTTTGAAAAGGGAATTTGACATCCTTCTGTTTTAAAAGTTGATATTTGTGCAAAAAATCTTTCTCAATTGACCTTGCAAGGCATGTGAAAATAGTAATATCAGTATTAAGAAACTGTTTAGTCATCTATGAAAATTATATTTAAATTGTATATTTTGAGTTTTGAGTTAAATACCATTAAGAAATATGATGTCCTTTATTGTGACAATGGCCCTTTAATGTTCATGTAATTCAGTCAATTCCATGCACCACATAATTAACCAGCAAGACAAATACATCTTTGACCAATTATTTGGAAACATCAAGTCCAAATTACCCACTGACTGCCAAAGTTACTTGGCCTGTGGCCTTGTCTGATTTGAATCAGTTTACTCCAATTATTTCCAAATTGGACAACATGCAGCTAGTCCTATCAATACATTATAAACAATTAACATGCCATATAATATACAACTGTATCTAGAATCTAAATCTAAAGATTTAGATATATTTAGGTACATTGTATGTTAGATATATTAACTTTATAGATTGTATGTTACTTTGATTTGGGGTATCTGTCATGGTGACATATTTGTCCCATTTCTATGTATTTCACTGGCCACATGTGGGTGGCCACTGGCCATGCAAAGTTGACATTAACTGACAAGGTGCAAGAAATCAATAGTACAATGTCTAGGTAAAAACAGAAAACAAAAAGGGTATGGATTTTAATTCACCTGTTATTCTCTGTAAATCATATCTGTATTTTGTGTCCTAAAAAAAAAAAAACAGAGCAAACAGAACATGTAGAAATTGATGATCTTGTTCCATTATCATCAGAAATGAGTTACATCATGTGCAGTACATGTACATGATGTACTTTTCAATTTATTTCTTCATGTTGCGCAAGTCATGCGTATACAAAAATCAAATGATATTTGGTACATGTAGCTCAATTTTCTGTAATGTCTCGACATTACGCAAGTAATGACAACATTCCCTATACAGGTGAAATGGTCTGGTTCAACTGCTAAACAGAAAGTGTGGCTTCTTCGTGTAGAGGACAAAAGACACATCACGATAGGACACCACCTCGCAAACCTAAATTGTTTTCATTGTTTTCCTCATTCTTTTGTCCTTTTGTTCTCCATTGTTTTACGTCAACTGTGTCTTTGACACCATGTAAGAGCCAAAAGTGCACTCATCAATTAATGTAGAATTCATGTGAGTTCATGCATGAATCCCAATGTTCATGCATACATGTAAAAGAAACTAAAACCTATAACTAATTATTTGTTTTTGTATTCAATTGCCTATCATATTTACAATATAAAACTTACCTTTGCTATATTAGAAACATTTAATTTACTCCTAGATTCAATTAAATCCTCAAAAACACTTCCAGAAACCTGAGAAAATGAAATGCACACAACACTAAATAATTTATGTACATACATGCATAAAATAATGTAGACCAGGTCTTTTTTACTGTTCTGGATGAGTTTAATGGATGACATTTTGGCCGTTTGGCCTTCCTCGTGTTATTATGCAACCTTAATCTCAATATTTCTGCTTTGTATATAAGTCCGTGTTCTTGTAACTCGCAACCACTGTAAATAGCTTTTTAGCTTTTAACTTTTAACCTGAGGAAGGCCAAACAGGCGAAACATCATTCATTAAACTCATCCAGAACAATCAAGAGTTGGTCTCTTTGTCACATCTTTAACATACACTAAATTACCTGTATATAATGTATATATCTTAATCTAAGTGTAACATTAACCTACATTACAATTTAGCTGTACAATATAATGGTCCACCATCTCTTGTTTTCCAAATTTAAGTGTGTCTGTGTTTTTCTCTTTGTTGTTGTTGTTATTGCGCTTGTTTTCTTGTACATGGGAAGACTGGCAATTCTGACAGAAAAATAAATAGTGGGTGATCCCAGCAAAAAAGTTCTTAACATTTTTACCTCAATTCTCTTCTCATCCATGCGATCTCTGCTTTCTTGCTATTGATCAGGAAATAAAATAAAATAGAAAAGCTTAAAATAATTTTAAACTAAGAATTATTGCATACTGTAGGGATAAACGGTATAATTACACCAAGAGGCCTTAACATGTACATGTTGTTTACCAATCAGTACACAAGAAAATCGCCTGTACACCTGTACATACCGTGAGCTACACAGTACTGGCTCAATTTCTGATTACAGATCTGGGGCTCAAAAAGAACTGCTACGTGTACCTCTACCCTGGTCATCAGACACGAAAAGAATTGCTACACTTACCTCTACCCTGGTCATCAGACAGGGCAGTGACTCTAGACTATAGCTATTTCTCTCCCATGTGTACATGCACACATAAGGTTCGAATTACTTTTGGCAGATTATCGTAGAATTAAATACCTAAAAACCTAAAAACCTTGCTCAATCCTCATCCAGATCTTGCATACAATGTACATTGAGGCAAAGAATACAAGAACAGTTAAGAGAAATACAAATTATCTGGCACCAGGCTATTCTTAGTTTGGGTGTGTGCTCACTAGGAACCACATGCAAAGTATAAAAAAAAAAACAAAAACAAAAACAAAAACAAAAACAAAAAAAAAAAACATTTAAGCATACTTTTCTGTACCTTGTTATAAAGTTCCCCTGCTGTGTGATCTAGTACAAGAATGGCACTACCTTCTGCATTAGTCTGTCCTTGAAGCTGAAATAAAAGACAATAGAACAGTTATATTGTTTTCAGCAGGAGGGCAACTGGTTTTCACAGGTGGGCAAAACTTTTTTAACTGAACTTCTTGATAAGAAAAGCTACAGGCAGTCAAAATCGCAAAATCACAGCCGGTCAATTTGCCCAGTTACTGGCCATTATTGAAACCCTGGAATGTGGGCTTGCCAGTGCCATCATCACTTGGCAAAGTTTTGTATGGATTCTGGTTGGATTCTGTTTGACAAGTCAGTTGTGCAATAAAAATATCTGCACTTAAAGGGCCGGGGTGGCCGTTGATAGTATTTTGGCATCACAAGTGAACAAATGTCATCTAATGACAGCTCTGCCTCCACACTCCTTACATTTTGATCGGCCAAATCAAAATGGCACTTATAACAGTCATAAGGGTTTCAGAAAGTTGTAAAAAGAGAACAAAAATGTAAATTATATCAAATTTGTTATTCCAGAAAATATCCATACAGGTTTTTTGCTTCGAACACCCCTTCTAAATTCCAGTTAATAAGCCTCTTTCTTTTCTTTAAAAATGAAGGCATTTTCACCCCAGCCCCCCTTGAATTCCCAATGACTTCCCATGGGGTGGATATTGGGTATTTTCTGGAACTTTTAATGTTAAGTGCACATCAATTGAATGTTTTGGAATTTTTTGGCCACTGATAAAAGTAACAAAACGTTATAATACATGTACAACTGAAAAAAGGTAACTGATATTCACCGGGATGTCACCAAGTTTTGGAAGTTACTCATATAGGAGTGCATAAGTGGTACATTTTGCCATATTTTTCTAAACAAGAATAGCCCAGCAGAGTATGTAGCAGGCCAAGATAATCATGATATCGTAGACCGTGAGGCTGTGATTTCTCCTGGCAGCTGGTTACAGTCTTGACAACCCTGTATTCTACAATAATTATAGAAATTTTCTAGCTGGCAGTGACACTATAAACATCAGTACTTACAAATTGTCCTATTTTACGTGACAAAGGTCCCACTTCCTTTTCATAAGTCCTACCTATAGAAAACAGCACCTAGATGTAAGTACTGGATGAAAACATTACTATTGGTTTTCTACATTTGTTAAAGTCGTACATGGACTTTTTCTCCTCTACTGCACACAAGTTCTACCTACAATCTTGGACAGAATAAAATGGAACAATTATCCCCCATCCCCCCCAAAGCAATGATGAAGGCNGGATGAAAACATTACTATTGGTTTTCTACATTTGTTAAAGTCGTACATGGACTTTTTCTCCTCTACTGCACACAAGTTCTACCTACAATCTTGGACAGAATAAAATGGAACAATTATCCCCCATCCCCCCCAAAGCAATGATGAAGGCACGAAGGAGCAAAAGCGTGCCATTTTGGCATCATTGAAATGGGGGGAGGGGTGGTCCAGATGTTCCATTTATTTTGTCCA